AGTGACGGTACTCAGACATAGTTGTAGAGACGAGATGACTTAAATAGCAGTGACCACAAATGACTCCCTTTTTCTTCTGGAGAGGGCGTGGGCAGGGGTATGTATGAAAATTTCCACCCTTTTCCACTGCCCGTTCTGTGTGGCCCAGGCACCAAAGGAGTCTTCTGGAAAAAAATTTTCCTTCAGAATGATTATGACTAAAATAGCTTTCTGGAAACCAATTAGTAAAACTTTGAATCTACGAAATCAAGGGCTGGCAGGGAGAAACCAGGATTAAAGGCTTGGTGAGGTCCCAGCTAAGTTTAGTGGGGACAGAGTCACACCCACGTTTGGCAGCCCTCTCGCTGCATGTTCTGGGAATGGAGTGGAAAGCCTGCTCTCAGCTGACATTATTATTTTTATCTCTCTCTTTCTTTTTTAGATTTCTTTTTATTGTTTATTTGTTTATTTATTTACTTATTTTTGAGGCAGAGTCTCACTCTGTTCCCCAGGCTGGAGTACAGAGGCACAATCTTGGCTCACTGCAACCTCCCTCCCAGGTCCTAGCGATTCTCGCGCCTCAGTCTTCCACGTAGCTGAGACTACAGGTGTGCCACCATGCCCAGCTAGTTTTTGTATTTTAACATGTATTTTGCCATGTTGCTCAGGCTGGTCTTGAACTTCTGGCTTCAAGTGAAACACCCGCCTCCGTCTCCCAAAGTGCTGGGATTATAAGCGTGAGCCACTGCGCCTGGCCTGTTTTTATTTCTCTTGACTCACTGAAATGCTTTGGCAGAATAGCTACTGGCCTAAACTGAAACCCCTGAGTCTTGAGCAAACTTACATTTTATAGCCTCAATCCAGCAGGAACATCACTGGGGAAGTTGTCATTTAATATCCTGTTCTGATGACCCTGTTTCCACCAGCAGATCTGCCATCGGATTGTTCAAGCCCCTGCCCACACCTCCCTGGCTTTACCTCTGCCCCTTGTACCATCCTGTGTGGTTGCAGGTATGGCCATGCTGAAGTATGCTGCTCGTGCCTCATCTAGACCTCGGCAGAGCTTCGGCTCACCAGGCTGGCACAGAGCTGGCTTGCCAAAACTATTTGAACTAGATTACAATTTTTTTTCTGACTGGAAAAGTTCAGAAAGTTTTGTAACTTGCTGTATTAGCAAGGCACACGTGCTGCTGGTGGGGGCACAGAGCGGAACAACCTCAGTGGGTGGCAAGTGGTGTTATCTATTGCAGTTAAACATGCACACACCACTGGACCTGGCAAATTCCACGGGAGCAAGAGTTAGCACCGAGGGAGCATTTACACACACTAGGTGCTGTTTCCAACGCCAGACAGATAGGAATTCATTTAGACCTCACAAAGACCCTCTGGAGTAGATGCTGTCATCATCCTTGGCATATAAATGAGAAAGGTGAAGCAAAGAGACATCAAATTATTTGTCCAAGATTATCCAGCCAGTAAGCACCCAGGTGTCTGGTTCAGGGGTGAGCTTGCTTAACTACTATACTATATTATATCCCTCTATGGTGCCATCCATTGAAGTATTATCTAAAATAGAAAGATGTGAAAACAATCTAAATGTCAATCACAAGGGAATGGTTCAATATAATATGGTTTTTCTATACAAGGGAGAACTAGATGGTTGGTTTGTTTTTTTAAAAAAAATGAAGCTGAAAGGGAAGTGTACTGAGCTATAAAAGTGTCTCTAAGCTATAAAATTTAAGTTAAGAAAAGCAGAATTGGCCAGGCGCAGTGGTTCATGTTAGCAATCCCAGCACTTTGGGAGGCGGAGGTGGGTGGATGGTTTGAGCCCAGGAGTTTGAGACCAGCCTGGACAGCATGATGAAGCCCCATCTCTACAAAAAAATACAAAAACTAGCTGGGCGTGGTGGTGGGCACCTGTAGTCTCAGCCACTCAGGAGGATGAGGCAGGAGGACTGCTTGAGCCCAAGCAAGGAGGATTGCAGTGAGCCAGGACTGCAGTGAGCTGAGGATTACAGTGAGACCCAAAAATTAGCCAGGCGTGGTGGTGGGTGCCTGTAGTCCCAGCCACTCAGGAGGCCAAGGCAGGACGTTGAGGTTTGCAGTGAGCCAGGACTACACTCTATTCTGGGTGACAGAACAAGATCCAGTCTCCAAAAAAAAAAAAAAAAAAAAAAAAAGGCTGAGGAGTTTCCTGGTGGACCAGCCCATGTTCCGAATAGGCACTTGTATTCTGGACTTCCTCAGGACTTCCTTTTTTAGCTACAGAGGTGGTTCTCTACTGGGGATAGTTTTGCCCCCAGGAGACATTTTTGGTTGGGAGGGTACTACTGGCATCTTGTTGGTAAAGGCCAAGGAGGCTGCTATGTATCCTGCAGCACACAGCACAGCTCCCCGCAACCCACCAAAACAAAGAATTATGCAACCCCAAAGTCAAGTGCTGAAGTTGAGCTGTGGTGACAGCACCGGCTCATGGACATCGTGACCGTGACTGGTAGACTCGGGTCATCAGCCCCGGAACATACCTAGAACTTCTACGTGTTTATTTTCCCTCCTAAAATACGGCCTACTCTACAATCTTCCTGAACTGCATTTTTAAATTCAGTCTCCAGCTTACCAACCTTATTTCAGATTTAATTTCATCAAGAAGGATGTCAGCCAACTCCGGTCCATCTCCCTGCCACCGTCACTTTGAGGAGCTGAGAAATACTTGAATATCTCAGGACAACCTTTCTGGGAAGCCCCACATGGTGCTGGTGAAAGATGCAGTTGTCCCTGGGACCAAAAGTTCTCTGGAATGCCAGCTCATGAGACTGGTTCTTAAGAAACCGAGGAGAATGAAAATATCTGCACCTCCCTCAGGCAGAAATCTTCCGAAAGGAGGGGGACAGCCTCAGATCAGGAAGGGGAAAGCCCTGTGGATGAGGGTGCCTCTGCTCCTTTAGGATTCTCTTCCAGGTTTACCGGAGTGGCGGGGGGCAGCGGGGGCAACAGGGCTGCTCAAGGATTCTCCCCTTTTCTGGGTGTCAGAGGAAGAAGGAGGAAACCCAGAGAGTCCTGGCTGCTCCCCTTAACCCAATGACAGCTGGGGCCTGTTTTATCTGGAAGGCATCCTGGGCATGTGCTGCTCTTATGGAGAGAGGAGGGGATCAGAGCCTGTGGTTCCATCCTATCTGGGCTATTTACCGGCCTGTGACTGTGGGCAGGTCACCTGCCCTCACCTTCAGTTTTCTCTTCTGTAAAATGGGTGCCTTACAGGGTTGTCGCAAAATTCCAATGAAGCTGAACATGCTGACTCATACCTGCAATCCCATCACTTTGGGAGGATCACCTGAGGTTAGAAGTTCAAGACTAGCCTGGCCAACATGATGAAACACTGTCTCTACTAATGGTGGCACACATATGAGGTCACAGCTACTCGGGAGGCTTAGGTGGGAGGATCACTTGAGGCCAGGAGGTCGAGGCTGCAGTGAGCCATGATTGCACCACTGCACCGCAGCCTGGGGTACAGAGCAAGACACTGTGTCTCAAAAACAAAAAACTCCAATGAAGTCAAAGATGAGAACAGTGCTCTACGACTGACCAGTTCACATACAAACGTTAATTATTATTTAAATCCACAGTCACTAGATTTTGGCTCTTTCTTGCCCTAGTGAATATGTGGTTGACTGGGGGTTATCCCAGAGGAGTATGTCATGGGGGCTGTTGGCAGGACCAGGGCCTGAGCCCTGGAAGATGGGGGTCATGGGAGAGAAATTGCAGTTCCTGAGGACACTCATGTAGACAGAAATGGGTAAACAAGAGACTGGTGAGACTGATGTGGGAAGATTCAGACTCACCATGTCGTGTTTTCCCGCCTGGAGTTTGAAATGGCCTGAAAATTGCAGGCAACAATCAAATAAATGAAATTGAAGGCTGAGGGGTTTTTTTTTTTTTTTGGCTCTCTTGCTGCCAAAACAGGAATTAAGAGGGTTATTCAAGCCAGGGTACTCAAGCGCCCACTTCACAGGGATTATTTATATTCCTGACATGGTACAACAAATGTTCACTGAGTGCCTATCTTGTGGGTTAGGCTGTGTCTCTAAGAAGATATGCTGAAGTCTTAAGCCCCGGTACCTATGAATGTGACCTTATTTGGAAATAGGATCTTTGCAGATGCAATTAGTTACGATGAAGTCATACCGTAGTAGAGTGCGCCTTAAATCCAATGACTGGTGTCTTTATAAGAAGGCTATGTGAAGACACAGAGACTCAGACACTCGGGGAAGGAGACCATGTGATGACGGAGGCAGAGACCGGAGTGACGCGTCTGCAAGGAAGACTGGCCGAGGAACACCAGGACTGCCCAGCAACCACCAGAGGCGAGGGGAGCGGCACAGACCAGGTTCTCCCTTGCAGCCTCCAAAATAAACCAACCCTGCCAACACCTTGATTTCAGACCTCTGGCCTCCAGAACTGTGAGAGTGTACATTTCCATCGCTGAAGCCACCAAGTATGCGGTCATTCATTTTGGTGATCCTAGAGAACAATACAACCCACCGCAGGCCAGACAGAGACACAAACCAACCAGTTTCTACCCTCAAGCGGCGTCCCTGAAAGGGCAGCTTCACGGACAAGGGCTGTTGTGAGAGTAAATGAGATATGGCTGTGGAGGGAGGCAGCGGGGGCAAGAGAGGGGCTTTTATGCCTACTACTGGGGTTCGTGCTGGGCAGAATCAAAGGCCCTGCTCCAGTTGAGTGCGCCCTTTATCCGCCAGGCAGGCTGCTCTGAGAGAGAGCGGAGACTCATCTGACAGGCCTTATTCTTTTTCAAACCACCCAGATAATTAGTCAGAATTCTATTTCCTTCGTGGTTTCTGTGAATGGATTTTGTGGTGATTTTTTTTTTCCAGGCATTTTGGCAGTGTCGAGGGGAGATGTAAAAGAGCCCATTAACATCAACATGCGTCACTGGGGACACTGAAAGGCTGAGACTGAGAAGAGAAATATCTTCAATTAAATCTGACAAAGCTGGAGGTTACCTGGGTCTCCAGAATGCTGCAGCGCTGGCAGCCTAATTCCTGGGGCCTTTCCTCAGCTCTTGTGGGGCGTGCCTTATTTTGTTGGATAAATTCCTCCAGCCTTAAAACCTAAAAGAGGAGATAAGAAACACCACGCAATGAAACCAAGTTCTGCCTCCTCGACACAGTCATTCATCCGGGAATCAATTCTCCTGGGTCAGTCTGTTCTGGGAAGAGTGCCCCATTAGGCAAATTTTACACACACTTCTAGAAATACCGGTTTTTTGTTTTTTGTTTTTTTTTGAGCCAGGGTCTCACTCTGTCACCCAGGCTGGAGTGCGGTGGCACAATCTTGGCTCACTGCAACCTCCACCTCCCAGGTTCAAGTGATTCTCCTGCCTCAGCCTCCCAAGCAGCTGGGACTACAGGTACGCACCGCCATGCCCAGCTAATTTTTTGTATTTTTAGTAGAGACAGGGTTTCACCATGTTGCCCAGCCTGGTCTCGAACTCCTGACCTTAAGCGATCTGCCTGCCTCGGCCTCCAAAAGTGCTGGGATTACAGGCGTGAGCCACTGCGCCAGGCCTAGAAACGCCATGTCTAATGAGCTAGTTGCTTAGTCTTTCCAGAAGAAAATGTGCCCAGCAGGTTTATAGTATTCCACAGTCTCCTTTACGTTATTTACATACATATTTCTATACTAGATCTGTAGGGTGGCTTTCGTATCATTCCCGGAAGGCCACTCAATTTCTTTTGAAAACAAAACAAAAAAGCTAATTGGTAAAGAAAATGAACAACATTTAAGAATTATGTAGATAAAATGAGAGAAGAGTGGCTTGGGGGTGCTCTTAAAGTGTAAGGCCTTAATTATGATGATGATGATTAACCAACTAATTGTAATATATGAATTAAACAGACGGCTTTCCCCTAGACTTTGAGGAGAATGAGACCAAAAAACATAAAGGAAACTTGGACTTTCCTCAAATTTTTCTAGAAACCTTAATACTAGTTAGGCACCATGCTAGGTACAAGGAGGGATGGGGAAGGGACAGAGTGAGAGCAAGATAGTAAAATCATAAAGCATGGTCCCTGCCTTTAAAAAGCTATCATTTTATGAGGGGGATAGATAAATGTTTATAACCCCAATGACACCCAGTAGAGATACGTATAACATAATAAGAGCACCTCCTGAATGGTCCATTTGCTCTGTGCCACCCAGGAATCTAAGCCTTTTAAAAAAAATTATTATTATTTTTAAAAATGAGATGGGATCTTGCTATGTTGCCCAGGCTGGTATCAAACTCCTAGGCTCAAGAGATCCTCCCACCTCAGCCTCCCAAAGTGCTGAGATTATAGGGGTGAACCACTACGCCCAGCCAGGAACCTAAGCCTTTTACAGTATTAACTCTTTTAATCCTCACAACAGCGATTATAAGGTAGGTACTACTGCATAGAATTTACAGCAATAGGGCCAGGTGCGGTGGCTCACGCCTGTAATCCCAGCACTTTGGGAGGCAGAGGCGGGTGGATCACCTGAACTCAGGAGTTCGCAACCAACCTGGGCAACACAGTGAAACCCTGTCTTTACTAAAATACAAAAAATTAGCCAGGTGTGGTAGCATGCTCCTGTAATCCCAGCTAGTTGGGAGGCTGAGGCAGGAGAATTGCTTGAACCTGGGAGGCAGAAGTTGCAGTGAGCTGAGATCATGCCACTGCACTCCAGCCTGGGTGACAGGTGAGATTCCGCTTTAAAAAAAAAAAAAAAAAAAGAGCTCTAAGGCACTCACGAAATAGGTCAGGACCCAGGCTCCTGACCTGTGTTATTCAAAGAATAACTGAGTCTGTAATCCAGCACTGTTGGGAGGGCCAAGGCAGGTGGATCACAGTTCAAAGTTGAGATCATCCTGGCAACACGGTTGAAAACCCCATCTTACAAACTACCAAAAATTAGCCAGGCCGTTGGTGTACAGGGTGGCCTGTAATCCAGCTACTTGGGTAATTAGGCTGAGGCAGGAGATGCTTGAACCTGAGGCGGGAGGCGGAGGTTGCAGTGAGCCAAGATCACGCCACTGCACTCCACTTGGGCGACAGAGCGAGACTCTGTCTCAAAAAAAACAAACCAAAAAAACGAATAACTCGGTAGGTCTCATACATGTACATGAGGCCACCTTAAGCTCTGCAGCAAGGTGTGGTCCAGGTACAACAGGAAGACTGGCAGTGTATCTTCAACATGGCAAGAGGAAGAGATGGAGGGAGGGAGAAGTGAAGGAGGAGGGAGTGAGGGAAAGGCGGGAGGAAGGGAGGACAACAGGGCAGAAAAGAGGAAGGAGAGAGAAAGGCTTCTTTGCTGTGCAGCCCCACCTTGGTCTGGGCTGGACCAGAAGACTCTATCCCAGAACTTGTCACCAAGACCTACCTCTAGACCCTGAAATATCAAGTCTAAGGAATGACATGCTCATCATTTTTTAAAATAATGATTTTAGAAATAGAAGGAGTTCGAGAAAACATCACACCTGTGTACTCATCACTCAGCTAAAGAAATAACATGTCACAAATACAGCTGCAGCCCCTTACACTCTCTCCCTTCTAGAGATAACCACTGGCCCAATTCAATTCTATCATCCTCGTGCTTTGTTTAGATTGACCTCTTGGCTATTCCTAAACAATCGATACTGTTTTGCGCGTGGCCTCTGTGTTCTTAAAAATACCCCAGAGGTTGTGATGTACAGCAGGGCTGAGGAACTGGTGTCTGGGTTCCTGAAGCAGATGGGAGACACAGGTCTCATCTGGAAGGTTTGAGGGAGGACAGGGGAAGGAATGAAACTTGTTGACATTTTTTTGGTTTAAGCAGGCTCAGAAATGGTCTTAGGATTCTGTTTCTAGCCTTTTCCACTAGTTCTTTGATACTTTCGGGTGCCCATGAAAATGTGTTGATTTCTTTTAAAATCAGAAAAATGTATAGTCTGGATGATACTCATATTTCTACCACTGCAGTCATAAAATATAAATTTTTCATATTTTTTAGTAAAGGAAGGGCCTAGAAAGGCAAAATTGCTAAGAGCCCACAAAGGGGCGAATGTATCCCTGGGGAAGGAAAGGCAGGGGAACTGCAGGTTACCCACTTGTGCCTTCATGAAGCCACAGAACCAACACCAGTGGCCTCCTTCTCTTATTTGAGACATTAAAGGCCTCTTTGTTTAAGCACCTCTAATCTGGTTCTCTGTTACTTGCAGCTAACTGCATGTCCCTCGAGACAGCCTTCCTGTCTGGCTGAGTGTCTTTTTCTGTCTTCCAAAATTCTTGGCTTCTCAGTTAGGCAGAAGCTCCCAGGGACCAGAAACAGCACCCCAAGGCTTGCATTTGTTCAGGGCTTACCTCGAGCAGAGAATTCTGGAGCTTCACATTGAGGGCGGCTTTCTCGTCTTCCAGCTGCTTTATCTCCTTTTCTGATTTCTTCCTCACTTCCTCCAGCTGTGCTTCTACTTCCTAAATGACGATTGTTAGAGTTAACCATACAAGGCACGGAAAGAGGACACTTAACGTTTTCACACCCTGCCTTCTTCCCAGAGATCAAAGAAGCTTACGAGAGTCATAAAATACCACAAATAAATAGAAACTAGACATACACGAGAAGGTCAAAAGAAAACGTGTGTTAACTTCACACCACAAAGCCTGATATATATATAGGGGTGGGGTGGGGCATATTGTTGTCTTTAAGTTTTCTAGTGTCAAATTTTAAAAAATGCTCATTACTAACAAAATTTTCAGTGTCACATTCATTACTAACAAAATTCTCAGTGTCACATAAGTAAAAAAGCCAACTACATTTTCGGATGCAAGGAAATAGAAAAAGCAGTACAAAATGTCTTCTCAACAGCATCCATACATGAGTCAAAATGATGGGGTTAGCCGGGTACAGTGACTCACGCCTGTAATCCCAGCACTTTGGGAGGCCGAGGCAAGTGGATCGCTTGAGCCCAGGAGTTCAAGACCAGCCCGGGGAACATAGTGAGATGGTATCTCTATTTTAAAAATAAATAAATAAATAAAATAAAATAAAATAAATGATGGGATTCCCAGGGCCGATTACTCCATGGTCCCTCACCACAGCCCATGAACCTCAGTGCAAAGCAGATCCAGGTGAAGGAACATTCTGGGGACCACATAAGTGGTACAGTCACGTTCCATCTGTCATCTCGAGCACATTTCCTACCCTCTCAGTGACTCACTGTGCTCCTCACATGCTCCCTGCCACTCCAGGTACATAGTAAAGGATCGGTAGATGATAGGCACTAATATTATTCTCACAGAGACCGAGGCTTTCTGTTCTAGCTTAATTTCTATGGAAATTGTGCAAGTATCTAGAGGAGTGAATGAGATAGTCTGTTCCTCTTAGCTGAACTTTAGGTAGATATTGTATCACTCATTCATTCAACAAATATTTCTTGAGATCTACTGTGTGCCAGGCACTGTTCTCAGAGCTGGGGAGATAAAAGGGAGAATTCCTACACACCAGGAAACTGACATTTGAGTGAAAAAGATAGGCAGCAATCAAAGTCCATGAGTAAACAAGACGGCAAACACTAGGTTGGATGGAGAAATAATAAAGCTGGGAGGGGGCTCTGCAGTGCTGGGGAGGGGCTGAAATGTTAGATAACTTGGCCAGAGAAGTGCTCCAGAAAGTGACTTTGGAGTAAAATCCTGTCATAAGTGAGAGAGTTCACCAAGGAGATGTCTGGGTGTGAGATTTCCAGGATGTGCAAAGGCCCTGGCACATTCTAAGGACAGAGAGGAGCCACGGTGGCTGGACTAGATGAGGTCTGAGGAGCACCATCTGAGGCCTCAAACATCAAAGTTAGACTTACCAGTGAGGTGAAGGCCACTTAACTGTTGGTCAGAGGAGTGATGTAGTGATGTGGTTGCAATGATATTTGGATAAGTTTGCTACTGTGTGTGTGTGTGTGTGTTTTTTTTTTTTGAGACAAGGTCTCGCTCTGTCACCCAGACTGGAGTACAATAGCACAATCATGGCTCACTGCAGCCTTGACCACCTGGGCTCAAGCAATTCTCCTACCTCAGTCTCCCAAGTAGCTGGGACTACAGGTGCATGCCACCATGCCCAGCTAATTAAAAAAAATTTTTTTGTAGAGATGGGGTCTTGCTATGTTGCCCAGGCTGGTCTTGAACTCCTAAACTCTAGTGATACTCCCACTTCCACCTCTCAAAGTGCTGAGATTACATGCATGAACCACCATGCCCAGCTTCACTACTGGTTTCTGTCTTGAGTACAGACTGATGTGGGTGGAGGGGTCGGGGGAGAGCAGTGGCAGGCAGGCCTGGGAGGAGGCTGTGGTGGTAACTGAGGTAAGAGTGATGGTGGCTGGGCCTGTGGCAGCAGTGCAGCGGGGAGGAGGGGTAGAACTTGGGATATATGTGGAATGTTGACTGACAGGACTCACTGAAAGGAGAGGTCAGGATGGCATCAGGCTTTCTGACCTAAGCAAGGAGAGAATGGTGCCACCATGAACTGAGGTGGGGAAGACAGGAGTGGATTCAGGGACCCTCTGAGGAGCTTGTTTGCACATGTCAAGTTTGATACATCTGTTAGATGTCTAAGTAGATAGAGAGAGGGTCTGGAATTCAGGGGAGGGTTGTGGGTTGGAGTATGCATTTGGGAGCCATCAGCATACAGAATGTATTGAGGCATGCATTGGAATGAGAAGAGCTAGAGAACAGGAATGAGAACATGAGGAAAATATAAGATATTAAAGAACCAAGCCCTCAGACATTCCAAAATTTCCTATGAATTAGAGGTTACAATATCCAGCAGGTATTTGTAGAGCAGCTGTCCTAAGCTGTCAGTTGATTATGGACCTGTAGATCTAATGGACATGATAACAGTAGCTGACATTTGCCGAGTACGTGCCATTTGCTGGCACTTTACACAGACCATTCTCTCTGGTCTTCGTGAAAGCCCTATGACTTAGGTACTACCACCAAGGCTTATTGTAAAGATAAATAAATGAAACTTAAAGAGGTTAAATGCCTTGCCCAGGGTCAAGATTTGAACTCAGGAAAGCCTGACTGGTTGACTGTGCTTCTTCCCTGACTTCTCAAGGAAAATTTAGCTCCTAGTACAGAAAAACGCTTGACTGTGTGAGTACAGAAGTTGTCATGTATCAGACAACAGCATCACTAGGCTGAGCAGAGAAGACTTGTAGGAAAACCCATGTTTAAGCTGGACTGGAAGGATCAGTAAGAACTGGACAGGATCAGGCAGGAAAATTTGGGAGCAGGGAGAAAGTGCTCTTCGTCAAGGGAAAGAACATGGAATGAATGATGAACTAAAAGGCTGGAACCACTGAGGGTGGCTCACACCTATAATCCTAACACTTTGGGAGACTGAGGCAGTAGAATTTTTTGAGGCCAGGAGTTTGAGACTAGCCTTGGCAACACAGCGAGACACTAGCTGTATGAAATTTTTAAAAAATTAGCTGGGCTTGGTGGCATGCCTTAGCTACTCAGGGGGCTGAGGCAGGAGGATCACTTGAGCCCAGGAGTTCGAAGCTGCAGTGAGCCATGATCACATCACTGTATTCCAGCCTGGGTGTCAAAGCAAGACCCTGTCTCTGAATGAATGAATGAATGAATGAATGAATGAATGAATGAATAAAAAGTGAAAGGCTGGAGGGCAGAGTAGGACAGGGGAGAGGTGTGGGATAAGGCAGGAGAGAGCAATCAAGAGTCTGCCTCTGTAGGGTCTTAAAAATCACGTTAAGGAATTGGAACTATTTAATACATTATAAAGATGATAGGGAGTGACTGGAGAGTTTGAAATGAAGGTTGAATTTTCAGAAGGTTCCACTGCAATGAAGATTAGATTACATGAAGTGGGGAGACTGGAGGCAGGGAAATCATCGCACGTTCCATCATGAAATGGTGGTTGGCTGGATCAGCATGGTACCACTGAGGAGAGGGGGAAGTGGAGGAATTCCACAGTCATTGAAGAAGCAGAATTAATACATTAGATGGACAACTGAATGTGAGAGGTGAGAAAGAGATCATGTTTGACTCCTGGGTTTCCAAGTTGAACATCTGAAAAGACACTGCTGCTGATCACCTCCATGACACCTTTATACTTTCTGTGGGGCCAAGCCCAGCCTAGGCCAGTGACTCTGGGGAGGCCCTTAGCATTTTTCCTGGGGTCAGTCACTTAAAGAGAAGAAAAAAACCCTGGACATTTAACATGTGTATAGTCTCTGTTCAGTAAATCTATGATCCCCTTTTGCAGGGCTTGTTGTTTTTGAGAGCTCATTTTCTAAACACAGTATGTAAATTCTCCTTTGGTTTCAAACAAGTTCAGGTAACTTAAGCAATCAGCAGCAGCAAGGCCATCCCTTCAACAAAAATTCATCTTCTTTACTTCATTAATTAGCTTCTCATCCATAGAAGCTTTTATTGAACAGAAGTTTTGTTGAACATGCTTTAGTAAAGAAGACAGTCACTAACACTGCCAACATGTGTTCACTGTAACAGCACAGTGATAATCCCCTGTGATAATAATTTTTAGCATAAACGAATGGCTATTTCTAATTTTACATAACTTAACTTCCCAGTCTACAAGTAACTAACCATAGCTTCAGCTGTAACCTTGACAAATGAACCTAATGTAAAAAAAATTCCCCCACAGATGGAAATAATCAATTTCAGCAGTAATTTTTGGCATAAGTAAGCTTCATTTTGGGTGCAAAATAATGTGGTTTACTGTCAGAAAACAAACATTTCCGGGTCACTGGAGAACACAGATTTGAAAGAAGCATGCCCGGTCCAGCTCAGCCGAAAGTGACCTTGAAGATTTCAACAGGAAAATTCCCTTAACTCAGGTAAAGAGAAAAAATAAAAATAAAAAAAAAACAAAGACAAGGATATTGAGAAAAAAGGAGACGAATGCTCTCAGATATTTAAACTGCTTCATCCCGAATCTGGAAGACTGTTTCATGGGCCATTAATTTTTAGAATTCACAGAGCATTTTCATAAATGCTATTCTCACTGAACTTTCAGATACCCAGGAAAACAGGTTTGATGGCACCCATTTTACACAGAGGAAATCCCACAGCTGATAAGACGTAGATACAGGACTCACACTCATTTTCTGTTTCTTTGTCCAGATTGTCTACAATTACAGGTAATTAAGGAAAAGCGATGTAAAAGTGCCACTGTAAGGGACAACAACTGAGCAACCACAGAAAATTACCATGTGGAGATTTCAGTTGGAGTTTTAAGAGAAAACTTGTTAACTTTTTTTCAAAAAGAAAAGTTAATTATTTGGCATATATTTAAAGTTCATGATGCAGCTGAAAAAGTCAACCAGTACAAGGCCTTAAATAATCACTCCGGGAGGCTGAGGCAGGAGAATGGCGTTAACCCAGGAGGCGGAGCTTGCAGTGAGCTAAGAGCGCGCCACTGCACTCCAGCCTGGGTGACA